GTGAAATGAGCTTGTCTGTATCTAAAACCAGTGCTTAAAACAGTTGTTAGCTTGAGGCTTTGCCCTGATGAGCAGATTTTAAAAAAATGGATTGGACCATCTACTGTACAGGCAGTCTTCAGACTTACAACACAGTTGGTTCCTGAAAACCGTGTCTTAAGTTGAAACGTTGTAACTCGGAACGAATTTTCACATAAGAAACAATGTTATAAATGGGGGATTGGTTCCTGAACTAAGGCCCAATACCCTATTTTCACCAAAAATACCCTAGAATTTTGTACTCGATCAACTATAGATGAGTAATATAGCTGCATTAATGTATTTATATTGTAAATAGCAATCATATTGATTTGGAAGGACTTCTTTGAGGTGACTTTGCTGGAATTTTTTAAAGGCTTTGGTTGGACTTTTTGAAGGGCTCTTGGCTGGAGTCTTCTCAGGAGTCTTGGCTGCAGGTTTTTCAGGAGTCTTGTCTGCTTCCTTAAAGAACGTGTCCAAGGAAGTTTGGACAGATGTTCTCCAGGGAGATGGGCGACACGGCGAACTTGTTCGCTGGCATGGCGTTGCGTCGGGGAGAGCCATTTCATCCTAGCTAGCCTTCTTGGAATAACATCTTATGTTCAAAAAAGCCAAAGCTGTTCTGGCAACACCATCTGTACAGCCAGGTGTTGACCTGCAAGATCTACTTGCTCCTGCCCAAGCCCTTCTCCTTGACTGGGAGGATTTAAGAGAACACCACCTGAGCCCCAGTCCCTTCACCCTTGCACCTGGAGCCGCTCAGTGTCATCCCTGGCAATATTATGGGTGTCTACATTGAACAGCGTGGGGTAGTCAGAGGGCCAGATGAGTCTCAGTAGCCCTTCCACGACATCTCAGATCCAGGCTCTGGGCAAGCAGCAAACCAGCAAACCTCACAGTATAATAGGTCAGATCAGCAGATGGATACCTCCATGGTCCGCAGAAAGGGAGTCTCCAGCCACTGCCATCCATCATGTCCTCTGGTGGCGGTGGTCTCAGTTCTTCCAACCTTGGGGATGCTTGGCCTGGCTTCTTCCACTGATGGAATATGCTCCTCCTCTGTTGCTAGGGCTCCATGTCTCATCTTCAGGCAAGGTGGGGGTGAATATTTCTTCTTGCTGCAAGAGGTCACAAGCTGCTAATTTCCACCTTCCTTGGAGTTCATGTTCTTCCTTCTCTAACATTGCCTTTGGCAGTCCTTTCTCCACTGTAGGAGGAGTATCCTCCAGCATCAAATCAATGAAGTCCTTGTGGCAGAAGATGATTCAGAGCCTCTCCACCTCCTCCTGTAGCTTCCTTGCCCACTCCCCGAGCGACACCACTATTGCAGGCTTCCCTACCTGGCTGTCACTGGAAGGAACCTGCAAACAGCAGACTCCCGCACCAAACCAGGACCTGGGTGGTGGAAGCCTTAAGTGTCTTGTGATTTCTGGATTTGGTTAAAGACATGGTACTTTAGCAAGCCTCATCTTTTCTCTCCCTGACAGCTAAATGAAAAAGTCATCAGAGTTCCTCTGACAAATCAAAGGCGATCTGCAACAATAAAGGAGATGATCCAACAGACTAAACTAATACAGATCTATGAGTAGAAGCTGCCTTTCCTGGGCATGCCTTTCAATAAAACATCCTTAAAAACATGTAAAGACTCAAGTCCTTTTGTTCACGCTAGAGATGTTTGATAATTTAGAGTCTGTCTCTTCTTTCATGAAAAGTAGCCTGCTGGCCAACCATCTATGGTGGTAGTTTTTAGACGCATCATTTAGCAGAAGAAATTAACTGAGCTCTTCTATTTTCTTGTCACCTCTATCTGATATGATCCCTCCCTCTTTCCCCCCACCCGGGTCCCACTGGACTGTTCCATGGTCACATTAATTGCTTAGTGGTTTCCAAGTGGATGTTATGTAGAAACCGTTAGAAATGTGTGGGTTGCCAGCTTGCTAGACTTACTGTTCTCTTCCCTTTCGTCCCCTCACTTCTCCTTCCAGCCCCTCCCCAGTGAAAACTCTGATGTAAAAGAAAGGTGTGAATGTTAGGGGGAGGAAGAGGAGGCAGGGGACTAGAATTTACTTTTCTCCGTGCTCCGAGGCAAAGGTTATCAGTTTACTTGGGCTATGTTAGAGAAGGGTCATGACTGATGAGGGTCATGGTTTGGGGAGATGGATACAGTGTTTATATTGCTTACTTGGCTGAAATGACAGTGAGATATCTGTTGTTTTGATAAGATCTGTCAAAAGTACCTATGACCTGGGAGAAATTCTTTAGTTTTATTTTGATTTATATGTATTTATTATAGTTAAAGACTAATGAAGGAGTGGCATCCGAACCTGCTTCAAATCCTCCCTTCAGTTCTGGAGACTGATCTAAACCTCTTAGTTAAAGCAGGGTCCTGTTTTGCACTTTATGCAGCCTTGTTTGTTTGTTTTGCATTACTAATTTGCAAAGCTGCTGAAGGCCATGTCTGGGGAGTAAGATTATAGTGCCTGGCAGCAGTGCTCTTAAGGATGGCATATGGCTCTACAGTGGACTGTCCTGAAGCGGAATAGTTAGTGTAGCTGTGCCTGTGCAGCACTTTGAGCAGACTGACTTGCCTCAGTGAGTGACAGTTAATTAGCTGGTTTGCATCTCCATATAGATGCAGCTACACTGCTGTTGGTTTATGGTGCAGTCTCTGCAGAGCAGCCTGGTATCTTTAGCTGTGCCTCTGCTCGGCACAGTGAGTTTGTTTCGTAGATGAAGCTTCAAACTCAAGGCATTTCCTAAGTCTACAATTAATTGTCTGATAACTCTAAGATTTGTTTCTGACTTCCATAAGAAATGTAGTACTTAATCTGCAAAAACACACCTTATCTAATCATTTAAATGGGATTGAGTGTCATCACCAAAGATCCTGTTTTTCTCTGATTTTAAAAAGAAACAACCCAGTTTTTAGATTTAACAAAAAAAAGTAACCCAAAATCCACATTTTTCCATGATTAAAATGAAACCCACTCTCTCTCGTCTCTCTCTCAATAGTAGTATTTCATTTTAATCATGGAAAAACGTGGATTTTGGGTTACTTCTTTTTATCTGGGAAAACCAGGATCCCTGGTCATCACTATAGGGTGGAGTTAAGCTTGTTTGGGTACTTTGTGTGTTTTTCTTTAGTATTTGAATTTCTAAGTGTAATCTTAAACTCTGCCTTTCCTCAGAGTATAGTACTTTGGTTTGAGAGAATGACACTATGCCTAATGCTTTTTACCAGTAATTTAGGATACCTTCCTCAAATCTTAACCTTCATCTTAGTCACTTATTGTCTGAAGTTTGATTCCAACATAGCCTAATCATACTAACACATGTTGTAGAGAGAGAAATTATTTAAAGTATCTTATTAAGTAAGTGACAGTAGAAAACAATGTGCAGGACTAAGTAGGTTTTTTTTTAACACGTTGTTAAAACTTTCTGCAAATTTATTTGACTGAGCTTTAATTATTATAATATCCAGTAGGCATGCCTTAAAATATTCTAATACCAAATGCATTGCTTTGAAGATTATTAATATATTATGAGCTATATCTGAATTTAATATTTTTGAAAAACAATTTATTTTCTTTAGATGTTCTTCCAAAAGCTGAGATGCATTTAAATGAAATCCGAAATACAATTTTTGCACAACTTCAACCCCAGCTGAAGTGTGAATTAGGTAAGTATATATGTGTGACTTTAGTTTGTTCCAGCTTTCTGAGTGCAAACCTTGCTGTTATGTCAGCACTTAAAATATATCTCACAAGTGGATACAAACAGCGTACCAGTGTAATTTGGTTAGGTCAAGCACACCACTCACAGTAGTTAGTTCTTTTCTTTTTTTCCCCTCCCCTCCCTCTTTTTTTTTTTTTCTGTCTCTATTCCATTCTCTTCTGTAGTACCTGTATGCTCAGGCCTAATGAAGTGACCCTTCTGGTGCATGCTTTTCTTCTCTGTTGTGAAAAAGGCAGGAAAAAATTGCTTGACAAAAGGAAAGCTCATTCTGAGTTTAAAGAGAATACTTTCCAGCACTTTTGAATTATGTATTTAGGCCAGGGGTTGGATCTAGCCCACAGCTGCAAGGCTTTGCCTGGACCTGTGCTACTACCACTTCTCCCCACCCTGCTCCAATCCAGCATGGGCTAGGTAACTTTGGCAGCAATAAGGGTGAAGGGGGTTTTTTCTGTGCCCACACTGGGGTGAGGCAGCAAAAAGCACCTGCACTGCTGTTCCTTCTTCTAGCCCTCCCCCTGTCCCGCTGCTACTTTTTGGGATCTGCTGCTTTAGCAAAGCAAAATAATGTATGGTGACTGCTACATCCTCCTTCCCTTAGTTGTGTATGGTCCTTCTTAACTGTATAGAACACTTAAATAATGCCCATTAAATGGTTCCATAGAAACAGCAGAAGTTGACAACATTTTCCTTCACTTTGTCCTCTGACCTAGCCCATGGAAAGTACTTGTAGCATTTTGGCTTAAATTAGCAAATTGTTATCATTTGTATACTTTCATTATTTTCCCATAAAATGGAAAATGAAATTAATACTTAGGACTGATGTCACTAGTACTGTAGTGTAGCATCAATATTAGCCTCAAAAGCTTCTGCAACTATTAGTTTTCATGTAGTCTTCTGATCTCAGTTTGTTGTGTTATGTGCTCCCCTCCTGGTTAACTACAGCTGTAGTCTTGCTGCTAATGATGGCTTTCAGTCCTTTACTATAGGAATGAGAATATTGCTTTGTGAGTGCTCACAGAATAATTGTCCTTGCTTTCCGATGTCCTGAAGAGTGGTTGTGAACATTTAGTGACTGTTTTTCTTTTTTTCTTCAAAGGTAGAGAGGAAAGTCCGGTCTTTGCATTACCTCTGCTTCTAGAAAAGGATCCTGAAGTTAAGAAACTCTTTCTTCATTCATTTTCATGGAAATTTGAATGTTTACTTTGTGGCTACAAACAGCAGGACAGGTAAGGGTTTTTATTCGGGTAATATTCATTTATCTGTATGAATTTATTTTTCATTCTACACTTGATACTTTTTAAACCAACACTTTGTACACAATAGTTTGCATGCGGTGACAGGGGAAAAGATACGATGGTGAAGTCTTGTAGTCTGTATTTCCTAAAGTTTTCTACACCTGCTATGTAGCGTCAAGATTTATGATGTAATAGTTTTGACTAGGAGAGATGTAAAAGATAAGTGGAGCAGGTTGTCAGCTGCCTACTTAGTTGTGCACTTAATGGTCAAATTGTAGCTGTTCTCCATGAATAGCAAGCCTGTCAAAACAAATAGGTATGCCTTATGCTGTTGAGTAGAAATGGGTTTCTGTATTTATTTGAACTGTATGACATTTGAAAAATAAATCTATGAAGTTTATTCACTTGGAAAAATGTGAAAGTATCCTTTGCTGAGCAGTGATTTAAAATCTTAGATGTTAGGCATGACTCTTAATTGCTATTTAGATAATTGGAGGTAGTATATGCGTAATGTAATATGTTTAAGATGTCCTTAACTGTTACGCACTTGGTAAAAAAAACAGGATGGAGAATTTTTTAAAGCCTTAGTTAATTTAAGTGTAATTATTAAATAAAATACTTTAAAGTAGCTAACACATTAGCAGCAGGTTTCTGTTTCATTTTCTTGTGCCACATAAGCATTATTTGTTGATACCGATCAGATTATTGAGCCAAATTCTGTTCATATTTCTGTGCTACTTATGTGAACTTCAGTGGTATTTGCCATACAAGCCAGCACTGAATTTGGCCTATTTATTATAGGCTGTGTAACACTGCTTCCTTTGCCCTACCTTCTCTGGTAAAATGTAATGCATTGTCTTTTCAGAATTTCAAGTAAGTATCTTATCTTCTCTTCTCTTTTTTTCCTCCTGTTCAGCTGTAGGAAGATGCTAACAACGTTTACAAATATAATACCTGAGTGGCACCCACTTAATGCTGTTCATATTGGTCCATGTAATAAATGTCAAGATAAATCTCAAAGGAGAGAGATGATTTTGGAAAAGTAAGTCTGAATTGCCTGAAATCTTGACTAAAATGGATGAAGTATTACCTGTAAATTTTAGATCTAAACACATCTCATAATTCTGTAACTTTTTAAAGCCAGGCATATTAAGTGGTACTTATGCTTAAGTTTCTAGTAAACATCCAGTTACCCAGTTTTGATATTCTTAAAATTCTCATTTACTATGTAAAGGTTTTAGTACACAGTGTATTTTTATCATTCACATAGAAAGGACACGCACAACTTTTAATATTCTGAATAGAATTGAGCCAAATAGTACTGTATTTACTTGAATGCAAGATAAGATTTTTCTCTTCCAATTGGCATGGGAGGAAAAGCCCCTCATGTTATTGCATACAAGAAAATCTCATTAAATACACTGTCTATTATTCAACTGCTGCCAAAAGCACCATGTGCTCAGCAGTGGAAACCAACTGTGAAGTTCATTAAATGTAGCCAACACTGAGCATGACTCTAAAACACATGGCCTAGTTAGTTAGGGTGATATACTGATAGGATCCTACCACAAAGATAGGTTAGTGCAGGGGTGGGCAAAATACGACCTGTGGGTCAGATCCGGCCTGTGAGGCCATTCTATCCGGCCCGCGGGGCCCCTAAAAATTTAGAAAATTAATATTTCTCTGCCTGTGGTTCCTGTCAAAATGACAGGAACCAAGGGCAGTAGGACCCAGGGGAAGCTGGGCAGGCTCCCACAACAGCAGGGCCTGCCTGGCCCCACCCCCCAGCCAGAAGCCCCAGGAGGGGCTTCTGGCCTGGGACTGTGTGGCTGCCTTGGCTGGAACCGCATGTAAAGGGAAAGTGGGGGAGGGCAGGGGAGGATCCTGGGCAAGGAAGATGGCCGGGGAAAAGCTGAATGCAGAGCAGGGGGAAGCTGCCTCTCCCCCACCCTATGGCTGGTTCCCCACACTGCAGTTGCTCGCAGCCCACATGGGGCTGCCTGTGCCTGCTCCAGACAGCCCCACGCAGGCTGCAAGCGGCTGCAGCAGGGAGCACTGGCCACGGGGTGGGGAAGAGGCTGCTTTTCCCCTTCCCCACGCTCAGCTTTTCCCTGGGCTCCATCCCTGCTCCTTCCTGGTGCAGAGGAAAATGGCCCTTCCCCAGCCCTGTGCCCACACTCCCTGCTGCAGCCGCTCGCAGGCCATGCGGGGCTATCCAGAGCAGGCACTGGCAGCCCCAGGTAGGCTGCGGGGTGGGCGAGGGGCCGCCTTTCCCCCATGCTCTGCACCAGTTTGTAATCTGGCCCTGCACCGGCTCTGGGCTCACCCGCTGGGGCTGTGCGTGGCAACAGCAGCTGTGGCCTCCACACTTGCCATGCCGGGCAGTGTTTGCCACCGTTGCCTCTCTGCTGCCTAGCATGCGAGCTCCAGGTGGGCAGCAGCAGCAAACACTGCCTGGCACGGCAAGTGGGGGGGCCGCAAGTACTGCCGTCCCGGGCAGTCCCAATGGGCAAGCCCAGAGCTGGCACAGGGCCCAGGCTGGCAGTGGGGGCTGGGTTACAAGCTGGTGCTGAGCACAGGGTGGGGGGAACCCTCACCCACCCCATGGCCAGTGCCCTGCGCTTCAGCTGCTCATAGCCCACATTGGGCTGTCTTTGCCTGCTCCAGACAGCCCCGCATGGGCTGCAAGCAGCTGCAGCAGGGAGCGCTGGCCATGGGGTGGGCAAGGAGCTGCTTTTCCCCCCGCGCTGCACTAGCTTCTTCCCTACCAGTGAGCAGAGGGTCGGGGCTGTGCGCTGACCCCAGCCTGTACCGTGGGGCTGGGGGGCACTGGGAGTGAGCAGGTGCATGAGCCAGCAGGAGCACGGGGCCCACACCGGTGTTCCAGGGCCAGTGCCGGCGGGTCCCATAGCAGGGTGGCAGGAGCACAGGGTCCCAGCCAGCAGGGGCTCTATGGAGCCGGGTCAGCTCCCCCCTCTCCCTGCTGGTGCAGCCCAGTCCGGCTCCACAGACCCTTGCCAGCCTATGCCCTGCTCTGGGCCACATGGGTGCTGGCCCTGGGACATTGCTCCCAAGATGGGACCAGGGAGCGGGGCATTTGTCAGGGGGCAGGGCTACCCAAGCGGCTCTCAACAGCCTGCCAAAACTGGGTAAGCAGCCCTCCGCCCAAACTCCTGGTTAGTGCCACCTACCTAAATAAGAGAGACACTAGTGCTCCCTCATCAACACTACTTCTTAAAGTCAAGGTAAGCCATGATATTACATACAGTTCACGCAGAATCCCTCTGTCGTGTCCTCTGCTTGCCTGGTACATATGATTAATGTGGCCCTGCCCTCCACAAGATGAAGCTGACCAGGTTGCCTTGACTGCACGTACATTTTTGGAGCATCCCAGGGCTTGTGACAAGAATACCTGGTTCCAGTCCTGAGTGGGGAGCCAATTAACACATGATCCTTTGTGAGAGGTATCTGGAGTATACACATGTACTGAGCAAGGCTAAGCTGTGAGGTCACTGGGTAGGGTGGGGCTACGCTAAAAATTTGTGCCAGGATACGAGTGTGCAGTGTTGTGGCTCACCATGGCTTAAAATGCTGTTAACTTTTGTGGGGCCCAGCCCAGTGAACTGTATGGTAAATCATGAGCTTTGAACTAACACCATGCATAGTTTATAGTAGATAGAAGTAGGTGCTCAAAAGTGTTTATAAAACACCTATGCTAAAACTTGCAGCAGTTAAAAAAAAAAAAAAAAAAAAAAAAAA